GTGGTTGTTACTTCAAACATACTGTTAATTATAAATGTATAAACAAATTGAAGAATATAGATGTTAGACCCTTATGAAAAGGTTAACAAATACATTACTTTCTTACCAATGAGGAATACATCAAAATTGTGTGAAGTCATAAGGAAATCAGAAACTATATATTTATTTGTTAGTGGGTTTTAATTTTTCCAGTTCTTATTCCTTATTAGTAAATACTTGCATCATATAATCATTCCATTCCTTATGGAGAGTTGGTAATGTGCATAACACATCTTCAAGCTTTATTCATTCCCTTTCCCTGCCTTCCAGTTCCTCTTCTTCCTTCTCTTGATCTCCTTCTTATTTGGGAAAGATTCTCTCTCTCTCTCTCTCTCTCTCTCTCTCTCTCTCTCTCTCTCTCTCTCTCTTTCTCTCTTTCTCTCTTTCTCTCTCTCTGTTTCTGCTTCCTGTTATGTATCTGTTATTTTGCTCTTTATTTTTATTTTGGGTTTCTCATATAAGAGAAACATGCAATATTTAGACTTGTCTGTCTGATTTATTTTACTAGTCAGACGGTGCATCCATTTTCCTACACATAAATCAAATTTATTTCTTTATGACAAAGTAGTATTTGGTTGTGTATAAATACCATATTGTCTTCTTCCATTCATCTGTTGATGAAATATGGCCATTTCTAAGATTTAGCTGTTATGAATTATACTTTTATAAACATGGGTATGCATGTATCTCTGTAATATGATATGTTTAACAGTGATAAGATAAAAAAAGATGACAGATGCCTTTTTTAGTAAAGATTGTCATAGATCATGATTACCTTACTAACTTTTGGGATCACTATTGATTTTCTGTAAATAATTCATTTTAAATCAGATAAGAAAATAAGTTAGTGAAGTTCAAAGAGACGTTTATGAAAGTAACTTTAGTTCAACAAATAAAAATTATAACCTACTTTGTACCATTGATTTGGTTAGTCAAAGGTATTACTTTTAAAAGTAAAAGATATTCAATAAAGACAGGTTGGATATTTTTGACCATTTTTCTCATTCATTCATTCCTAATTTAACCTACCTGATTTAAAACTTTAATACCAGTGGGGTGATAATAGTTAAACTATGTGAACAGTCAATAAGTACTGAACTATTTGTATGTTATTAATAGCTACAATCATCCTGTGAATTAACTAGTTTCATTTTATTAAAAATGAAGCTGAAGCCCAGAAAAGAAAAGAATTTGCTTAGTGTCACATAATGAGTCATTAGTGGTATAGCGGTTTGAAGAAGACTATGACTTAACTGCAAAATTTTTATGCTGTTAGGAGAAAATAAATAAAACTTTATGCTGTTAGGAGAAAATAAAGATGAATTATGCATCATATGTTATACACAATCAAAACCCTCAGCTATATTATTTACACTATTCATCATAAATCAACTTCTTTAGATTATATTGAAAAGTATCTATGTAGCATATTTAAAAAGAGAAATTTGGAAAGTACTCAGAGATCTGGGAATTGTATTGTTATACAGTTACTTTCTTTTATAGCTGATGTTTGATATTTAGAAAAAGATTGTTTCCCTAATACAGGCTTCAATAATAAATTTAAATAATTTAGATAATAAGGAGCTGGGGATTTAGCTCAATGCCACAAGTGTCTGCCATGAGTTTGATCCCCAGTACCAAAAAAAAAAAAAAAAAAAAGGCAACAATAATAAGTTAAATAATAATAAAGAATAAATAGTAAATGTGAAATAATAATACATTTTCCTGTTAATAGCTTTATGTTGGAAAACTATTTTTAGATACTTATACATTTTCTCTAAGACATACATCTTTCCTTCTTGTTTTTTCTTTCTGCTGGAAAATTCTTCTGTTACCTACTTAACTTCATTCTCACACTGATTTGCTTTCCTTCCAGAAGGTACTTTTAAATTTCTAAAACCTGGCTAATCTTCTCTCTTACCGTTATTTATATAGTAATCAATATGTACTCTTCGTATCCTCATTTCCACCTCTCCTGTTCTTTCATTAGACAAATATTAACTCAGTTTGTACTTTATTCAAGGCATGTTGACTACATTGAAGTCTTTGTATGCATCTCTTGGTAGTTTCTAGAAACTCTAAAGTAAGCATTGTGGTTCTGACACCACTGTGACCAAGCTTTAAATTGGGATCTAGTTGAAACAAATAGTCCTTAGTGAATAGTTACATCTTTCGTGTTACAATTGCATTTGCTGCATGGTACAATCACTGTACGTGTCTATACTCTGAATGCAAACTATCAAATCATCCTTCTATTATACAAATATGATTTCATTAAGTGGAAAGTCAGGAGACTTCATACCTTTAGCAGCAGAATTTAGTACGGTATGGAAAAAAGTAAAAATTTAATAGAATTATTTTTGCTGAATGAATTATGGAGTGAATGATAAGATAACCAAATGTACAGCATATACTCCTTCTCACATTATTATTTCACCTAGAAACTAAGAAAGTACATAACATGATTCTGTAAACCTGTTCTATTTTTAATATTTGCAGAGTACTATAACTGAAGTAATAAAAATTAAACAAATTTTTCATCTAATCTCATAATAATCTTTCCAAAAGAATCAGAAACACATATTTAATGATTGGGTCTTAAATTGGGGGTCAATATGATTTATTTAAGTTCTTTATGTATTCTAGATATTAGTCCTCTCTTTAGGGAATGGCTGGTAAAAATCTTTCCCCATTCCATGGGTTGGCCCTTCATTCTGTGGTGGTTTCCTTTGCTGTGCAAAAGCTTTTAATTTCATGTGATCCCATTTGTTGATTCTTTGTAATAATTCCCCTGGAATCAGATTTTTCTTTAAATTCTTTGCCTACACCTATATCTTTAAGAGTTTTACCTATTCCTTTTTCCATCGGATTAAGTATTTCTCTTGTAATACTTAGATCTTTGATCCATTTTGATTTTGGTTTACTGCCTGCTGAGAGACATGGGTCCAGATTCAATATTTGGCATATGGAAAACCAGTTTTTGTAGCATCATTTATTAAAGAGATAATTTTTATTCTTCTATTTCTCTTCCTATTTTAATTATAATAATCAAATAGCCAGCACATTTTAAGCACATTTATTATAAAAATGTGAAAACATCATGGAGATATTATTGACCAATTTGAAGCTGATTTTTTTTGTTTCTGTAATTTTCTGAAGATATGAGACTTTTTTTGATTTCCTAAAAATATATATGAAAATATGATTGTAGATAAGGGAAAAAGTCTTAATTCTTGACCTGATTTTCCAGAAGTTTTATGATCTTGAGCAATTTATAGAATATTCATGAGGCTTAATTAATTCCTTTATAATAGTAACTGCCTCAGATTAAAAAAAGATAAGATAGTAATTATTATTATTGGTAATAAAAATTGATCTCTCATGTTTTCATTTAATGTGTTTATTTTTTAAACAGCAAAAATACTCCTATCACCTAGAACAAGCTGAGGAATACAAATCAAAGAAACATTTATAAGGAGATTGTAACTCCAATGCTGGAGTTACAAAACCTGTCAATGGCTACACCCCCTTGGAGTTCATCCTTTACTCCCTCCCAGATTCCCACCAAGTCTTTTTTGTTTGATTCTGTTCACTTTTTCCCTCTTAAGTGATGACACAAAGGGTCCAACCTCCAAAGTAATTAGGTAACTGAGGAAACCAAAAGGACTTCCCTGAGAATGTTCCTGTTAACATTAAAATGTTGATGTGCTCTGCCTTCCTTCCATTTTACCACTTTGCACTTAAATAAGTTACATTTCTTTCTGAAAGAAAAGCAGGAAACCATCCTAACTTCCTGTCATAAAGCTTCCCACTGAGTTACTTGTTGAAAGCTACATTGTTTTTGCTTTTTCTTTTCACTTGGGTTTATTGGGTGGGTGCCAGAGCCTGGCAAACCTACCTGGAAGTGTTTCTGTGGCTTTGGCCTGGAAAGCTAAGGATCTCAGAGATCTACTATTTACATCATATCTTCAATTCCTCGACAGAACACAAATTAAAGACCTCTTTCTAATATACATTTTTGTGAATGTGTGGCAGGAAATGGTATGCAATCAAGCATTTGGCAGAGGCTTTTAGACAATCCTTTTGAGTATGAATACCACATCAAATTGTTGCCTTTCTCCATATTTTCCTGCCAAACCAAACAATACTGCAGTTGCTTCCTTGCAGAATTCATTGCCTGGTTCTGTCTATTTAAATTTATAATAAAATATCTTTATTAGTTTGTAATCTCATTATACTATCTTAGACCAAACTATTACTAATGTTACTAATGTTACTAATACAGTAACATTATTTTGTAACATTATTGTGGGCTTCTCTTTTCATCTTTTACAAGCCCTAATTCAGGCTTTATTTTTACATCTTATCTTTCAGTATTACTTAAGTAGCTCAAACAGTAGGAATATTTTAAATTAAAAGAATTTTAGGTATGCAAATAAGTTTAACACTAAAATCAAAAATACAAATTTAAGCATTGTTAGCATTTTTCACATTTATTTCAAATAACAAATTGATTACACATACATATTTCAGACATAACTGAAAGTATTTCTGTAATTTCTCTCTGACCTCTTCTGTTTCGTGAGATAACATTCTGAAATCATCTTTCCACTTCATGTTTTATAATAATATTCACTCTCCAAATTATGACTAGGTAAATTATAAGGTTGCCAACCAGGATTATATATCCTTTCTTATTCAATTTTTGGGTAATATTGGAGATAATTTTTACATTGAAAATTATTCTCTCTGCCGGAATGTAGACATCATAAGGCCAAATAATTTTATCTGCTTTATTAATAGAAAGTATCAGCATTTAGCATATTGCCTATGATGGGATTGTGACATGCTATTTCAAAATATGGTACTTTGGAAAACTAAATAGTTTAATCTATGGAATTTGAAAAGCAACAATTGCAAGGAAGATGCCTGACCTTCCCTCATCCTTCTCCCTAAAACAGGTCCTAAGACTCATGTGAAAGATTTCTCAGGTATACTTTGAGGAAACAGCTATCCTTAATCACTCAAAATAAAGGAGCCCAGGTAAGATAAGTTTACCCTAGTTCACTCTATGATTTTATTATTGAGGAAAACAAACCTTTGGGAACTGAAATTTAAAATCAAAATGGATAGCCTACATTAAGTAGCTCTCTCATCCTGCATCTGTTAGCTTTGCTTGTACAGGCTGCCTGAAACACCCTATGCTTAACCATGACCCGCGCTGCCCTGTAATTCAACCTGCTCAGTCCGGTTCCCTCCACCTTTCTAAGTGCCACTCAGTTTCTTGGTGTTGGGTAAATCTAAAATTGTGATAACACTGTCACAGTTCTCTGCAACTCTTCACTTTCCTTCTCTCTCTCTCTCTCTCTCTCTCTCTCTCTCTCTCTATATATATATATATATATATATATATATTTTTTTTTTTTTTTTTTTTTTTTTTTTTTTTTTTTGTGGACCAAGGATTAACACAATCTTGTGCTTGCCAGGCAGGTGCTTACACTGCTGAGCTAAATCCTCAGTCCTATCCTTCAAATTTAATGTAAAAACACATTTACTGCTTCTTCATGTCCTCACTCATTTCCTTAGAGGGGTTCCTAAGTCACATAAAATTTATATTAGCTGGGCATGGTGCGATACAACTGTGTTCCCAGCTACTTAAGTGTCTAGTCAGAGAATGAGCTCAGGAGTTTGAGACTATTCTGCATAACATAGTGAGATGTCCCCTACAAAAAGGAAAAAAAAAAAAAAAAGAAAAACTCATACTGAACAAAAGTGTATACTTTTCTCTTGTCAGTCTGTCTTTTGCTATAGGAGCCTCAGCAAACAAATCTAGGGAAGGTGAAATGAAAAGATACTTTTCATTCCCTCAGAGAAAGCACTAAATCCATATTTATTGAATGAATGACTAGATGATCCCATGGGTGAATGAATAAATAAATAGTTTTTAGTTAACTTTGGGTAAATCTAAAGTCTTTACTATAGTTTACAAAGCACCCCAAGAGTCGGCCCAGGTTTCTGAGGTTTTCTGTATCATTTCTCCCTCAGGCTCTCAGTTGTCCTCGGTTCCTGTGTTTGTGCCTTTTTTCATTTCAGTTTGTTCAGCAGTCATTTTTCATTCATTATGGTAAGTACATCAGCTAAGAGACACTTTTAAATCTCACCTACACTAGCTTTCACTGACATGTTTCCACAACATTCTGGTTATAAACACTCAACATCTTATTATTTGTCAATACCATATTTAGAATGATCATCTGTGTTACAGCAGAGATTCTGTCTACTAATTGCTAGCATAGGTATGTGGTAATTTTGGATAAAGAGTCACTATCTGCTATCCTCTGTGAAAACTAATTAACTTGGGATGTTACCTATGACCTGCTCTCAACTTTCACTTAGAATTGTATTTTTTGTTCTCGTGGTTTTCAGATCAGGTACTTTTCTTTATGTTGTTTCTGCTAATGCATTCTGTGAAATTTATGGTTGCCATTGAGAATATAGAAAACTTAAAAACTATTTTAATGACTTAACTAATGATAATATATTGTTATAATTCAATGCTGTATTCCTGTATATTTATAGACACATGCACCCACACACACACATGTTTGTATGTCAATAATCCGCAAGAGCACAACTCATAAGTATCTTTTCTTATTCTTCATTTTAGTATCATTCTGCATAAAAATACACAAACACACAAATGCAAAAGTATATGGAATAAGGTATAGATAAAAATTAATATCAGTTGATTGCAACTCCTAGGTGTTTTTTGAGCAATTACTTATTTCTAGGTATGCCTATATCTTTTAGACATACTACAAATTTTACAGGGTTTTGTTAGGATTAATTAAAGGACATTTTTCTGATGGGTCAAACATTTTCTGCCACAGGAGAAGCATTTAATTTGTGTTAGTTGTTATTTTCTATATGATGGCATTAATGTAAAGTTGGCCTGAATTGTCTGAAGTGAGTAAATGAAAGCCAACTGGTTAAAAGAAAGACTTGTGGTATTTCTTAAAGTAAACCCTAAACATTTGAGACAGATTTTGGAATAGCTGAAGCTAACAGAATAACCAGCTCACTAGCAATTTTAAATGACCCCTTAGTTTGAATTGAAGTCAGTGAACTAAACTTCCAAGTAGTTATAGTTTCTTTGGAAAAGTGCTGGATATTTTAGTGAAAGTTAAACTTCATAAATCAATTGGAAAACCTTTCCAGGTTTGACGTTTCTCCAATCCATTGTCCCCCAATTACTCTCACACTTAAACATGGAGGCAGATTTCATACTTTCATTTAAAAATCTCCACTGGACCTACACTGTTTAGGATAAAAGCCAAGTTCTTTATTCAGAGATGCTCTTTGTCAGCTAGCTGAAACATACATACCTTAGCCTTCATTTATAACATTCTCTTTGTTTGACACATATTTAGAGAGATGTTTACTTTATGTCATGCATTGTGTTACATTTTGGGATTACAAAAATGAAAAAAATAGTATTGAAAAATATTTAAAGAAAGAAATAGAATTTAGAAATATAAAAGAGGGGACTTAGTAGTTTAAGTACATTAAGCTTTCAAGGGGAAGGTGATACCTGAGCAGAATGGAGAATAGTAATAATTGCTCAGCTGAAGAAAGCAGAGTAAACACATTCTGGGCTGAAAAAATAACTTATGTACAGACAGGAAGGAATAAAATAATGTGTATAGGTAATTATAAATAGCTTTACTAGCATACTGTAAAATGAGAAGTAAAAAGGGTTAGTGACTAAAATTAGAGCAATTATAAGAATTGAAGGAGAGAGAAAATTTTATGTATTACTTTGAAAACCTTAGAATGTATCTTACAGACATGAAGCCAAGCATCGAGTGATGCATTCAGGACACACTGTCTCTATAGCACTTGAGAAATAGAAAAATCATGAAGCTTACACTCATCTTCCTCCTGCTTTCTCCTCTCAAGGAAGTCATTGAACTTTCATTGGCAGAGGAATCTGCACAAACAAGCCTTGTTGATTTACCTCCACATTTTACTATTTTATCATACTTTTTTAATCTAATCATACTTCTTTATGTCTAGCAACTTCATCAAATCTTGCATAAAATTACATGAGCATATCTGTCTCTTTCAGCCTTAATTTCCTTATGAAATTTCCTATCCTATTATCATGTAAGATATATGTATACATATAGTGTGTATATATATCTGTACTAGATTTTTATTAATTTATCTTTTGTTATAGGGACTTAACTATGAACTTTAGATATGAAGGAAAGATATTTCTTTTCTGTTCATGGGCAATATAAAGAAAAATATATGCCTATTTTATATATTGATCCAGTAGCAGATAAATAGTAGACCTAGAGCTATGTAGCATATAACTGGGGAAGCAAAATAATTTATCACAATGTCAAATATGGGGGCCGGGGATTTAGCTCAGGGGCTTAAGCACCTGCCTGGCAAGTGTGAGGTCATGAGTTGAATCCTCGGCAGCAAAAAACAAACAAAAAAAGGTCAAATATGAAGTTGTACCAATGGAGAGGAAGGAAGGAAATTTAGAATAATTAGCAATTTAAGTAATCAAGTTTAATAAATGGCTAAGCATAGATGGTCAAGAATAGAAGAGTCTAAAATGACTGATTTCTCTTTGGTTGAGGCAATAATGAGATGGTGGTATCATTAACTGAAAGAGGAGACAGAATAGTGGGGTGTTTAAAGTTTTGTTTTGAGACAAGGTCTCGGTCTGTAATTCAGGCTGGCTTTGAATTCATAGTATAATCCATCTGGCCTCAAGCTCATGGAAATACTCTTACCTCAGTCTTCCAAGTGCTGGGATTACAGATGTGTATACTGCTGAAGAGATGTAATAGGAAAGATAAGTACAGTGGTACCTTGGTTCAAGAATTTAATTTTTTCCTCAATTCTGGAAAACATGGCCATATTCATATTTTGTGGGAAATATGGTTTCATTTTCTTCATCATCTGGTGCAGTTTGCAAGCCAAATTGTGCACAAACATATTCCTGTCTTACTTTTTTCTTGTTATTGTGATACAATACCCAATTCCAAGAATTAAGCAAGGAAAGGTTTATTTAGTTCCTGGTTTATGGAAGTTTCAGTCTATAATCAGCTGGCTCTAAGCAGGATGGCATGGCAGAGGAGGAACAGTTCATGGCCAAAAGGCAGCAAAAGCAACAAAAACAAAGAGAAGAGAGCAAACCTCTTTCCTTCCTTTATATTGTATGCAGGTTGCTCACCACACAGTGGATATAGCACTCACATCAGAATCATAACATTGGACCATGAATCAATAACCATAAACTCTAGAAGCCCACCCTGATGATTGCATGAAATTTGTGGGGGACATCTAAACATAAATTATAACATTCTGACCCTGATCCCCCAAAGACTCATGTAATCTTTTCTTGCAAAACACGTTAGCACAACTTTTAGTTGCCGAAGTCTTAACAGTTTCAGCATTGCTGAAAAGTCCAAGCCTCAACTCTCCTTCAAGATATATGGAAAACCCTTAACTGTGAGTCCTACACATGTGAAAAGAAAGTTAAACACTTCTAACATGCAATGGCATAAGATAAATATTTCCATTCCAAAGTTACAAACAGGGATACAAAGGAATGGGACTGAGGCAAGTACAAAATCCTGCAGGGCAAACATAAATCCTATAATTCCATGTGAAGCCTCCAACGTGATCTGTGGCCAGTTGTAAGCTCCAAAAGGTTTATATGATTCTACTCCTGCAGCATTTCTAGTGTTTGTTGGTCCTATGACTTCTCTCTGGCTGATTTTGCTCCTCCTTACAGGTTACCTCAGATGATTTACACATTTCTGTCTTTTCTAAACTTTTGGGATCTCTATTATACCTTTGGCTTCTCCTTCACCATTTCACATACTACCTTCTTAGAGGCATGTTATCCTAGGCCTACTTGAATTCTAGTTGGAAGCTTTTTTAACCTCAGACTCTTGCATTTTGCATGTACTTAAAACCAGCACCATGTGGATTTTGCCAAGGGTTGATGCTAGCTGGAACAGTAGCTAGGCTTGCTTCTTTCTTGACTGTAAGAGTCAAGTGCCTGTATATTGCTGAGCAGTCTGAATCCAATTCTGAGGGACAGATTTTCTTTTTTCTTTTTTTTTTTTTTTTTTTTTTTTTTTTTTTTTTTTTTTTTGTCTTTTTCGTTTTTATCGGTACCAGGGATCGAACTCACGACTGCCTGCTTGCAAGGCAGGTGCTTATGCTGCTGAGCTAAATCCCCAGCCCCAACAAATGTTCTATGCTTTTGCCCTTCTGGAACCTGATGTGGTTACTGCCATTCCAGAACCTGGCATAGCCACTGCCATTCTGAAACATGGTACTCTACAGCTTTCTTCTCAAAGCAGTCTTTTACCTTTGCAGTTTTGAGGCTGCAAAGAGTAGTAACTTGCTGCTTCTTGTGATGCTCTCAGGCCATCTTTTTTATTCTCTTATTCCTTCTCAGCAGTCAAGATCTCCTCATATCTGTCTTCGTAGTCCAAAAGTTTTACTAGAGCTTATTTCTGGCCAAACTCACATTTTAAATCATTCTGGTTGGCTTTTTGCTCTTGATTTGCAACATAAATCTGGCAAACACCTACCAACAATAGCTATTTCACCACCTCAACATTTGACTACTTTGAGCTTTCTTCTGCCAGAATAGTCAGCCACCCTTAATATTAGTCTCAGAAAAAAAATCTCTGAACATGAGCAAAATGCAGACAAACTTTTTGTCAAGCAGTAACATACATTGTCAGGAGTCCAACAGTCAATGTAGTCCTTCTTCCAGCAGAAACCTCTCAAGTCTGAACTTTATCAGTTTTCTGGTCTTATGAGCTCTGACCAGAGTCTTTTATACAGAACAGCCTAACACATTTTAGTGCTACTATTTTGGATGACATCTCTGAACCTTTCCAAACTCTTCCCACAAGCCATTTCCAAGAGCTCTTGAACCACATGATCAGAAATAATCCCAGCAATGATCTCACTCTTAGTTCTACATTCTGTCTTAGTTATTTTTCTCTCATTGTTGAGACAAAAATATCCAACACCCACAATTAAGGAAGGAAAGATTGATTTAACTAATTTTCTGGAGATTTCACTCCATAATCACCTGGATTCAGCCAGGGTGGTGTGGCAAAGGAGCAGCATTTCCTGGTGGCAGAAGACAGCAAAAGCAACAAAGCAAAAAAAGGCAGAGTGAGAGAGCAAGTCTCTTTCCCACTCTTGTATTGTATGCAGGCTACCTGCAGGACAGATGTAGCACTTACATCCATAATCCAAACATTGGACTGTGAATCAATCATAAACGCCAGGTAACTGCACCCATATCTGTATGAGGTTTTGGGGAGACATCTAGATATAAACCCTAACAATTCCTGAACCAAGGTACAACTGTGAATGTTTTTTAAAAGGCCATGATGGTGATGTGATAAAGGTTGTACATGCTATATTGAAATATCTTTGGGTTAAACAAATAGAAATATTCGACATTTGTTAGATTCATGAGTTGGAAACTTAGGAAACCAATTAGGTTGAGCTGGACTATTCAGAATCAGCATGTAAGTAAGAGTCATAACCATTAAAACAGATTCACTAACTAGGTGCTTATCCATTTACAATAGCTGACATACAAGGTACTTTTAGAAGTTAGAAGTATTCAGGTTAAAATTAGAATGAAAAAAGAATGTAACAGTGATGTCACTAATACTGTTTCTCACTTTCTCCTCAAAGAAAGCAATCATATTTTTTTTTCTTTCTGACATTTTAATGTTGTGGGTTTTTATGCATGAACATATATAAATTAGTTCACCTATTCCACAAAATGTGTTAAATGCTTTGGGTTCTGCACTTGTAAGAGGAGGAGAAAGCATGTTGTTTAATTGCAAAATTAGTACTGAAATTCTGTCACAAAGCAGTTATATATTCTTTTAATACATGTTTTTTAACAAAAATTCTGTAAAACTATTAATCATTAAAAATCTTAGTGTGAAGATATCTTGATATCATTGTGGTAGCCATTGCTGATTTCCTATCATCTTGTTTAGAAATCAAATAATGCTTGTATTGTTTGTTTTGATTGGCTTTAGTCTGTTTTCTATTATCTGATTTTAATATGTGTGAAGGTATGGACAGCTGTTTTGAAAAAACAAGAGATATTATGGTAGCCATTATTGATTTCCTTTTATCTAGTTTTGAAGGCCCATAATGCTTTCATTCTTGTATTTTGGTTGGTTTTATACTATTTTGTTTTTTTTAGTTTATTGTGTGTCAAGGTTTTGACAAAAGTTTCAAAGAAAGTGAGACATGGCAGCCACTGTTGATTTCTTATTGTTTTGTTTTTAAGCCTTGTGTTGCTTGCATTGTTTTCTTCTGGTCTACTTTGTTCTGTTTTGTTTTGTTTTGTTTTGTTTTATTCTCTCTCTCTCTCTCTCTCTCTCTCTCTCTCTCTCTGCTCCTCTCTCTCTCTCTCTCTCTCTCTCTCTCTCTCTTTTAAAAAATGATGTCTTGATATGTTCAGGACCCACAAGATTTTTATAACTGGGTGCTTTAAGTAAGCTAATAGAAGTTTAAGGTTGCTTGTGAGGGATGGAGTCAGACACTGATGACCTTTGGATCTGGTATCCTTTAGGAGCTCTGCTAAAATCCACCTTAATTGTGAAACCAGTAAGTAATCTGGCATCCCACATAGTAAATCCTCTGCCCAGAAAGTATCTGTGAGCCTCAACGAACATTCTTTCTCTTTTCTTGCCCATAAATCTGTGTTCTGTTATTAAATTTTACTCTTATTTTTTTTTCCTTTTCCTTTGCTGCAGGTATTTTAAGATAAAGGCAGCGACTTAGTTTCTACATTTTTAATTCATTAGGTACATGAAATGAGAGTATTGCGGAAAAGATGGTAGGAGTCATATTCTGGTTTTTAGTGTAAATTTTAATAATAGCTATTAAATATAGAACAGAGAACACAGTGATATGCAGGAACAATCTTTTGAATAAAAACCATAAGCAAAGGCAAAAAAAAAAAAAACAATAATGAAGTAGAGCTAAGTCTTATTCAGTGCCAATATTGTTACTTAAAATCTCTTATCATTGGAGGCTCCTGCTTCAAGTAAGGAAAGTCATTAAGACAAGCAAAGCAGTGCTCAAACATTTACCCATTTAGGTGCTAAATTTTTGCCCTTGTGTATGTTGTGTCACTCTTCCTAGCTAGTACTCTCTTTCTATACCTCTATGGCATACTAAACTAGGAAAGTCTGAATATGTCTTGAGAATGCCTAAGTGCTTACTAGACAACTAGAAATTCTGGTCTAACTTGGGATACAGCATGGAGTAAAAGTAGAACTTCCCCTAAGATCTAAGGATTTTCACGATTATTGTCAGGCTTTTGGTTTATGTCATGCTGTGTTCCCACCCACTAGAATTCTTTGTCACACAGATAAAATCATCCAACATCAGGATGTTTGGGAAGTGACCCTGTTCTTCTGTGTATTTATCATTTAATTCTAGAGGAATGTGCTGGCTTTATAATACAAGTACCTGTCAGATCATCAGTTGGCCAGGACCCCAGCTGGCATGCCTTGCAGGTGTACTCATCAAAGACATACTCATTCTCCTTACAGGGCGTGCAGGTCCAACAACAGCTAACTTCTCCCTTCCGAATCACCTAAGGAAATTATTTAAATTTTTGATTAATTCTTTTAAATTTAGAAATTCTTTATTGAAATGTATTACACTGTTTTAAAAAGCATAAAGGCTCTTTGTATAAATTACTTAAAATGATATCAGATAAGCATAAAAAAGTGTTAATATCTGGTAATTAAAAAACTAGTATAAGTTTAAATAATGAATCCAGTGCCATTAAACTGGCTGACAGTAGAGCTGAGAATTAAGTTATATCCAAGTCATAGGATAATTAGATTTTGATACTTACAATAAGTATCTATGTTTATACTCATGTGTACATACATATAATTGTGCAAAACTGAATTTTCACCAAGACTGTATGCCTCTTTTACTGAACCTACCTTGACTTTTTACCACTAGTGAAATAATTGTGACCAGAAAACATCTTACATATTCCATCTTCAAAAATCTGTCTAAATTTATGAAAATAATTTTTTTTTTTTGTCTTTTTCGTTTTTATCGGTACCAGGGATCGAACTCACGACTGCCTGCTTGCAAGGCAGGCTCTTATGCCGCTGAGCTAAACCCCTAGCCCCTGTGAAAATAATTTAAGAATTTGTTTTGGATAGAAATAATCATAAAAGTTTCTAGATAAAAGCTCTCTCTCTCTGTCTTCCTCCCCTCCCTTTCCAAGGGTCTTTGCACTAACTAGAGGTAATTTCTTGATCTGGTTCAATAATACAGCTGATTTTTTAATATTTGGTAGCTTTTCCTTTACTTAAGAAGAAGATAAAGTCATTGAGAGTACCTCTTCATTTATTTAATTTTTAAGACAACAGAAAGTATAACACATGAAGGAGTTCCAGATGTTATCTTTTAGATACGGATATATCTCCCCCTCCACCACCACCTCTGGAGCATTAATAGCCTTTGTGGAATACACACAGAATTCATTTGACATTTTTATAAATTATTAAACCAGCTGTGATTATAATTTATATTCCTCATCTTAAAGGCGGCTATGTTAGTATTCTTTGATAACACTGTCTAAATACATATAACCAATTATAATTATAATTAGCATATCTTTATTACATTTTATGCCATCCTTTATAGTGATTCTTAAAACTGCAACACTACAGGTTGAAAATGATGACAAAAGAGCCTGAAACAACTTTTCTCTAAAATTATTTAACCAGTGAGGCAAAACTGATAATTTGGTTTGTTTCATTTAGCTAAAATACTCTTAATTATTACAATAGAGTTAGGCATGCCATATGGTTGATGTCATTAAAACATTTGATTTTATTTATGTCATTCTTTTTTAGAATAGAAAATTCAGGTATAGTTAGCTCATATAGTATGTTGACATAAATGACGTATCAAGTAGTATATGCTGGAGTTCAAGCCTCATGCTCACAAATGTTAAGCCTTATTAGAAGATAGACTTTATATTATTATGAAAGATGTAGAGGAACAAACATGGAAACAACACTAGGCTCTGGTCTTTCTTACAGTCACTAAACAGGCAGCTTTGAATAGTACTCAGTCGATGCCTTGTTTCTTCAAATGCCCTATTCGTTGTGTTTTAATAATGTTTTATAAGATTCTCTGAGGATTAAATTATATATCACAGTAATTTAAAGTAAAGAACACCTGAAAATGTTCTTTAGTTGTGTTAATATCAAGCATACTTACTCAAAGAATGGAAAAACATAAATTTTCAGTGTAAATTAAAGCAAATTCGGTAAAGCTATCAATAATAAAATTCTGAAATAAAAGTTTATATATTTAGAATATTGAAAAATTACCTTTTTAGACCTTAACGAGGACTAGCAAATAAAAACAGCTCTACTTATCCCCCCTAAAATGCTGTCTTCTTAGCATTCATTTTTCTTTGTGAATATCAGTATTTTGCTGGCATAATTTCATATACTTTTCCAAGAATGATTTCAATATTGCAATATCTTTTTGAACCAATTGTGACAACTTAATCTGTCTCTTTCTAATCATTCAAAACAAATTCATTTTATTTTTTATCATGTTATATTCTATGTCATAATCATTTTTAATAAAAATATGGTGGCTGTTCAATTCCACAGCAGTTCTGAATCATTTTGAACATAATGTAGTAGTGGCACTTTTTTTATAACTAACAATATGTACGGTGCCTGGGACTTTACTAGACTAAGCCTTTAAGCAAAACTAAGTTTGCAAATCTATCAACAATGACATGAGATTTTATTATTAATAAAATTATTAGTTACAACTCTAAACACTATTAAAAAGTGAGACCAGATTACATTTGAAGATTAAAAAAAGAACAAACACTTTTACCCAATAACCAGAGATAAAAATATTTTTATTTTCATTGATATAAATTTTCTGTACATAATGTTGGCATTCCTTGTGTGGAGTTGATGCATGTGCTTAACACGGCTTAATTTCCTTTCTTATCCCCTTTCTCTCCTTTCCTTCCTATTTTCCCCATCTCTTCATCACCTTGCCTTTTGAGAAAGTTCTATTTCCTTTGTTCCTTATTATCTATTTTTTATTTTACTCTTTGTATTTTGGGTTTTGTGTATAAGGAAACAATGTGATACTTAAGCTTGTACCAAGGGTAACAAGATTCTTTATTTTGTAAATTATTTCCAGGAGACTGAGGTAGAAAAGCATATCTAAAAAATCTCTGAAATCAGTCACCTAGCAATTTGAAGTTGGTTTAAATTGAGTTTCAGTGAAGCATCAAAATGAAGAGATATCTTTATCAGATTTTACACTAAATAATCTTTCTATAGGAGCCTCTGAAGATTATGGACATTTGATATTCATAGTTGGTCAATTATAAAGGATTTCACAGGAAGTGTTGTTCTGCAAGATTATTGGTTAAGATGCATGCCTATTTTGTTGCTTTTATCAGGAGTTAACAGACTTTCTTCAAAGGGCCAAGTAGAAAATATTTAGGCTTTAGGCCGCACAGTCAGTATTACTACTCATCTTTTAATTGTTGCTACAGTATCATCAAAACAGTCATAGAGGATATGTTTAAAAATACACTTAGGTGTATTTCAATTAAAACTTTATTTATAAGAACAGAGTGCTGACTATATTTATCCTGTGGGAAAAGTTTTAACTCTTTGTATACATGATAACAAATTTTCTGATATTGGATGAACTTTTAAGCCATTTAGCAGGTAATTAATAATTATGTTTTTTTCTTTATCTTTCTTCTTTCTAGTTTTATGCTTTCTAAAACTTCAGAAAACCTTTTGGGTACCTTACTACCAATAGTAAAATATTTCTGTTTCAATCAAACATCTCAAATGTTTTGTAAACAGAGTTAAGGTAAGGTTGATTGAAAAAAAAACATAAATAAGGCAAATTGTTTCCTTGCCTGCAATAGTATTGTATACCTATTTTATCAAATAATAAATTATTTTGATATGCTAATTTCTCTGTTAGGACAATCCAGAAGAAATAGTTATACATGCTTCCCCATAAATTTCACTTTCATCCTATTATTCATGGGCTATTTATTTTCTGGAAGAATAGATAAGTGACATTTTGCCCCAAAGTTGCTTTGGTGTCCTCAAATTGCCAAACACCTTTTTAACATATACTTCTATTGTTATAGTTAGTAGCTAATAGCTGTTAGCTTTATTATAGCCTGTTCTTTTTGACAGATTCTTCTCTCCTGAAGTCCCAGATAAAGGCAACCCTCAATTCTCTTGTTCTCTCATTCCTCCACTTCACTGGCCTGCCTCTTCCACTGACCACCATCTTACCTGAGAGTATTCTCTCTGTTTTGTCTATTTGCACAATATCTATTTCTTTATCTTCATTTACACTTTAGAAGGAAATATTCTCCAGTCTTCATTCTTGGTCCACATATTTTGTCAAAATGTTCAGGTGGAGCAGTTTTATCTTCTGTAAGATTCAACTTGAGCCATATTTGCTTTCTAAATCTGGATCTTTAACTTTATTTCTTATTGTTCGAAGCCAGTCGTTCCTGGCAAGCTATCTCAAAATCATCATGCTACCAAGTAACCTGTTACCTTTCTCTATTCCAATCCTTTTGTTTCATTCCTGAGTATAGCACCTTGCAGCTACTAGAGTTGGAATTACAATTTGATATTGTAGACTTGTTTTTCTTCTTTAACCTGATGTTGAACCAGAGCTGAGGTGGACTGGGCCTACCTCTATAATGTTTCACCCAAGTGCGTTCCATGAGCTCTTTTTATTCTCATGGTTTCCTTCTTAAATTAGAGCCTTTCTCACCATCATCACTGTGTACTATAACTTCTCTTATTCATTTCACACTTTTTGTAATTCTCTTCATTAATCTTCACTTGTATAAAACTTCTAGTCAAAATTATCCTTTGACTCTAGGTTAATAGAAGTCAAGTTGAATGTATGCAAAACGACACTGAAAACTCTACAAATTGGCTTCAGTCCATCATTTTAATTTTTCTTTTATAACCAATTAGAATAGCCATCCATACACCCTTGATTATTAAATAAATGTCTAGCTAACCATTATTGCAGCTTTTCTATTACTGCTATTTCTATATAAGTGATCTTTCTCTGAAATCATAACCATTTCTATGATTAAATGTTTGGCATTTTATTCAAAATAAATCTCTCACATAAGTTTATATAATGTACTTTATCTCATCACATTTTCATGATATTAGTTATTTATGCTCATGATATTTAGTTTTCTTTATCTGGACAATAATGGATGCATTACCTATATTTGTAACGCTGATATTAACTATTATATTGGGACATTCATAGATACTATTAAATTAGTTAGTAGGTTGCATGCTAGGCCTTCAAGAATTAGTGAAAACAAAGTAAAGAAATAATTTCCAATTTTAGAAGCTTACAATGTAAAAAGTAAAACAAGTGTCTATTTTTATTAATTTTTATTTGTATATATTTACAATGCATAATAATTATACTTGTTTTGTGATATTGGTGTATATAAATATATAGTCAGTATATATGTATCAGATTTTGATACATATATGGTCTTCCTCATGCTCTAATTTAAAAGATAGCTAATGATACTTAACACTGCTAAATTTATAATGAAAAATCAAAGAGATAAAGACTCCATTTTACCTTTATCTGGCCTTTTTCACATGGCTCACTGCAAACAGATCTGATTATATTATTTTTCTTGGACCATACTTCATCATCATCCATTTTTAATTCTCCATTGTCCCAACTTCCGACGTTGATATAATCAAAATAATCTTTTCTCATTTCCTTGAAATTCATTATTTCATACCTTAGGAACAAGAATATAATAATCATTCAGCTAAGAATATAACCGTCTATGAAAATGCAGTGGACTTTATTTCCCCAATGTATCTATATTCATATAAGCAACGCTGAATTTTCCATGACAGTGCATTTAGGATAAGAAAAAACCTGTCTGTTTCATTTTCTCTTCAGAAGTCTTTTCCTTTTTACTTTCAAGCTTACACCTGAAATAGAAAATAATCCCATGTGAGAAAGTAACTTGACCTAAGAAGGATGAAAGAGTTTTGAAATAAAGAATTTAAACAAAAACTTCTGACAAATGATAGGAAGGTATTTCTCTACATTCAAGTAACAACATAAAATTTTTCTTTATTAATCAAATGAGAAATTTGGCAAAACTTTCATCTTTTTCCTCAGTGTCAGGGAATATAGAGAGAATTTGAATAAGAATAGATTTTTACTTTTCATAAATTATCCTTTGTCAATGGTTAAAAGAGCTATCACAGGAATAATGTTTTTAAAAATCTGCAAATAATTTCTAATGCATCTAGTGCATTATACAAATAATGGAACAGAGAAATATTTTATGAGTTCTCAGACTTTGTTATTACTCTTGGTTTTGATTGTGTACAGAGGATAAGCAGTGTGCCTATTTGAAAACTTTTCCTTACATTTCAAGAGAATGAAATAATTGAACACATTGGATGATCATTACCACTACTTATCAGTTTGTACAGGTAGGTCAAAGTTCACACAGAGCTCAATTTTCTTTATACTTCCAACCCAGTACTTTTAGTACTGACATATAGGATCTTAAATATACTTCCTCCAACTTTTCATGCTTATTATGTGTAGCTATCTAGAAGTGTGGATGGAGGAAAATTTGCTAGCTTTTGGGTTCCAGTGATCATGTTACCTTATTCAACACAATATATGCTCTATACAGAAACTGAAAAAGCAAACCCAGTGCCAGTAGTGAAACTACATTTTAGCATTCTGATTTTATTCAGGATCACTTTTTTTAAACTTTAGTGTTTTTTTTTCATAATATCAATTGATTCCTATATTTTGTTTTCTAATTCATAGCTCAAAAATTGTCTTGCATTTTTTTATTTGAAGTAATTAAAATTTTTGGATGAGTCTAAATTTCATTTCTAAATGAAAATTTATAGTGTACTTTCTTTACATGCTGTCTTAGTGATCAGATGGGTACTGTGCATGCAGACAGTTGCACAGAGCACTGAAATAAAAGGAACTCATATTATGTCACTGGCTGCTCCAAATATCTAATGTTTGGAGTCTTAAAAGGTGACTTGCCCACAGAAAATGAACATTTTGGTCTTGGGGAAAGAAAGATTGATATCAGAAGGCTTTTTTCTTTGCTGGTCATGATTTGAAAAGTTATCACGATCTCCTTATTTGCTTGAAAAATGAACTATCAGCTCCATTTCTACCAATTCTTAAGTGAGATAGAATATAGTTTGAGCTGTTAATTTTACAGATAATGGAACTGAAGCTCACTCAGATTAGTTAATATGATCAGGGTGCAGAAAATGCAAGAGTGGAAGCCAGGTCTTACCTAAGCATTTAGAATTGATGTCTACTGTTTCTTCTCCATTTAATTATTTCAACTTTGCTCAGGACAGCCAAGAGATCAACTCTGTTGCTTATTTTTAAAATTTAAATAGCTTGGCATTATAAAGTTCTAATATCTATATTTATGGCTCTCAGAAATGATAAAAAAATTGCTGAGTGTGGTGGGGCACACGTAATCCCAGCTCTCTGGAGGCCAAAGCAGGAAGATCACCATGAATTTGAGATCAGCCTTGGTTACATAAGTGAGTTCAAGGTGTGCCTGAACTACATAGCAAGACACTGCCTCAAAAACAAAATAAACAAAAGCTAAAACGTGAAAGGATGTAGTATTTTAAAAAATGAACATCAAAACTACAAAACTGAAATGTATTTAACAAGGAAATGTTTTAAAGAAAAGTTAAATGCTAGTTTTGACTTAACTCATCAAGCTGTTAAACTGAGAAAATGAATTTTCCCTTTAGAATTAGTCTTTTTTCCCCCCATCTGGAAGGCAAACATAAAGAGAGAATCAATGATAGCTCTGGTTACAAGATTTAAGGTTGCATTTTTGAAACTACAATAGCAGTGTTCTAAAAAGAAACAGGGCAGAAAAATTTACTTCTTAAAGTTCTTCCATTTTCTTGTGAATTATATTTTTAAAAAATTTTAAGGATGCTCTACAGCTTTTTTTTTTTACTGGTACCAGGGATCAAACTCACGACTGCCTGCTTGCAATGCAGGTGCTTTTGCTGCTGAGCTAAACCCAGCCCTGCTTTTTTTTTTTTTTTTTTTTTTTTTATTGCTCTACAGCTTTTATTTTCTATATATTTTTCTATCAAAATGAACGTTTTAAAAATATTTTCTTTTAAAACAGAGTCTTTTTGTAATGTTTACTCATTATTTTATCTAGAAGGTTGTATTTTGTCCAATAAAACAATAGGAAGTAATTTAGTGTCCTGTTTGTTATTGATGGATTTGGTAAAGATCTCAGTCACCCAAAATCAGTATCAGAAGCAAAGATTAGTATTACTCAAGTCACAGAACATGAGGGTATAAATTCCCCAGCCCAGTTTCTTCTTCCTCTTTCTATCCCGTCTCTACACTTCCACCATCTGGCGTCTACATCTTGCGGCTACCTGAATCTTCCTTCTCATCACAATATCCTTGCATATTATCTCTCTCTTCTTTAATATCTTTTCTTTTTATCTCAATATCTCCATGTCTATCTCTTCCTTAACTGTTCCACATGTTAGAGCCAAAATAATTTGAATTATTTTTACATGAATTTTATGTTATCAAAAACCAAAATATATTGCAAAACAAGAAATTCTAATAAAGCATTTATTTAATAGAAACTAGAAGAAATCAAGGTTCTGTTAAACAGAAATAGTACATTTCCTAAAGGTAAGAATTCTGAAACCTGGAGTGCATATCCAGAGATAGTGCGGAAGGTGCTCTTTCCTTAGGAGCTGATGAAAAGATGTCAGGGGAATTGAATAAAAATTGTGGAAGAAAACTGTGGAGAGAACTTTGTTCTCATGGTTATCTCAGGTTATAATTTTAATCTAAGGTCCTTTTAAAAAATTTTAAAGTGTAATTTTTTAATATGACAGGGAGCTTACCCTGGTTCATAAAACAAAGCAATTGTAATGATCTGTATCTTTGGAGTTAGGTAGCTATAGATTGAAGAAAGACACAGAGTTAGACCAAAAAAAATAATAATAATCAACATGGAATACTTTTCCACTGTATAGATTAAAGCATTTCAAACATAATACAAGTAAAATTATTTTTTTAAAAAATCTAAGATTAATTATTTGATGGTTTTTAAAGCTTGAGCATTGCTCTTGTTCAAAATTTTCTATTTGCTCCATCTATTTTTTCTCTTTCTTGTCCTTCTTCTTTCAAGTTAATGCTTTAAAATCCTTTTATCATTTAATGATACCTCTGTATTAAAATTTTTGTGACTGATTATGAGATTACCATGTGTATTCTTATTCTAGTTGGTGTTGTATTACTTACTGTAAAATTTGACGAACTTGCCTCTATATAATTTTATGTAACTTTATGTCTTATTTTCAAATATTTTATACTCACATCCTTATTGAATCCACATTTTAAATTTTGGTTTAAATATTTGTATTTAATTTAACATTTGCTCCTCATGTATCCTCTCACCAATTTAGTTTATTTTAATATTAAAGAATTATAGATTGATACTACTCTAGACAGAAATTAGTTCTTTAAAAAATGATTAAAATATACTCTACCAATCTACAGTTCTCTGTGACAGAGTGTATTGCTTTCAGGATCTTTCTGTTAAGACTGGAGATGCTGTAGAATCCTTCGTTACCTTAGTCTCCTCTGATTCATTGCACAGCTGGGAATCTTTTTGATCCAACAGAACAGTAACTTACTACACAGAAATATTTCTCAGAAAAAAATTTTTTTAAGCTTTTTGATACTGGTTGATTGACAATTTATTGTAAAAGATAAGAAGTTGAAGCCCAGGAAACTAAGTTAAAATTTTAGCTCTATCATTTACTAGACTGTCTTTGGTTCTATTATTTAATCTTTGTAAAGTTTGGTTTCTTCATATGGAAAAAAATGATAATATTATGCACCTTCTACAACTAAAAAACCCCAATTAATTTAATTTATTGTTGAAGAATACACAATCAATATAATATATATTCTATATCCTATCACAGTTAATATAATATATAATCTATACTAATATATAATATGTATATATAATATATATATATATATATATATATATATATATATATATATAGACAGAGAGAAAGAAAGAGAGAGAGAGAGAGAGAGAGCCCAGGTTGCTTGTAAATAATTATAACTTCATAAAGAAACATAACTGGATTACTGGGAGAAACAAAAAGCTGCAAAATACTCTTTCCTGGGTCTGGTCCATGCCCTTAGAGACCGATTTTGATAATTTATTATTACACTAATATAATATGTATACTGAGAAGTACATGAATAGACTAAAAGCCTATATATTCTCTGAAATTATATGCAAAATTTTGTGTATATTAGTCTGAAAGAACATCTAGAATTTTATCAGGGTCTTAAAGAGATTTATGTTCCAAAGAAAGTTAAGAACCAATTTCCTAAAAGTATCCTCTCATAGCATAACTAGATTATGTGTAAAGTTGATATGTCCTACTGGATCCATGAAGGTTCCTACAATAGAACTGAGCCATCAGAGAAATTTTTCAATATCTGGTTTGTGGTACTGAGATGATCCCTGAATGAAAACCAAAATTGGGGTAACTACAGTCATCACTCTATTAGCAATTCTCAAACTGACATCAGTGCTCTAGAGACGCATACTGATATAAATCTATGTATCGACATCAGAGTGTTGGCCTTAGTTCTGAACCTGAACATTGAGCTCATGGGTCAGCCATCTCTAAGAAGATTTACAACACATTGGAAGTTTCTTTTGAGCTTAAGCAATTCTTGTATTTTTCCCCTAGCGGATGCACTGAACATCCAAAAGAATAGAAGACAATGTGTGAAAAGTCAGCTTATCTTGGCACACAGCCTGACTGGTGCAATACTCTTCAAGTCTCTAGAACAGAAAAAAAAAATAGCCAGCTTTTATCTTGATTTATTACTGGAGCCAGTTGTTATATAGCAGTCTAGCATGTGAGATGGTAACAGCTGAGTCCAGCTCAGCTCCAGCTTACCTAGAACACAAAAATGTGCTAAACCAAGATTGCTGGCAGGAAGTGTGAGCACATGGCGTATGATGGAGGGATTCATGAGATCTTCTGTTGGCAGGGTCAACCCACACTTGTGCAAGCACAGCTGTTAATCATAGATTCTGCATGAAGAGCACTTGGGAGTTTTGCAATGGGTGACCGAAAGACCTTGGTTCAAATGCAAAGTAGAATGAAGACTTTCCACTGTTTCACATCCAAGTAAAATTTCAGTGAAATCATTAATGGATTGAAACAATCCTGTGCAGATCAATATAGGATTTTGGTGCAAAAGATAGACATGAATTCTAGTGCGATTTGGGTACCTAGTGATTTGTCCAAAGGCTGACCTATAATTAATGAGAAAGTTTCAGATTTCGCAGGCACCTCTCTGAAAACAATGAGAGATGAAATTTTGGAGAAAAGGACAATTTATTTCTCAATGAGGGAGAAATTGCTCTAGCTGGAGGGTAACAAAGTAAAATATGACTTATAATGCACTGTAGGTATAGCAAACAATATAAACGCACCTTGACCTGCTTAGGGATTACCAGAAATTGAATTGTTCCTGTTTCAGAGTAGTTGAATGAAGAAGATAACAGAGATTAGACAATAATATGACAAATATATTTAAAAATGACAGAGATGGCTTTTGTCTATTTATGATAAAATGAGTTTCCAAAGCGAAATTTAGGTTTTGGAAATGTGGTGAAGATTTCAAAAGGACAGTTTGTGTCTCATGATTTGTTTTCTTAGCCACAGGATAAAAGGTAGTAGTTCCTTTGTTCAATATGAGCTGGGCTAAGCAAACTACAAAGAATACAAGCAGGCACCTCAGAATCAAGAGTTGTCTATCCTTTTAAACCCATCATCAATGGGGAGAATTGTAACAATACCTTCCTGGAGAGTCTCCATTCTCATCAAATAGGATCATATCTCCAGAAACCCCAGTGAAATTGGTTTTCATAAGTGAGTCCAAGAGTTTCCGTCCATCAATTGGCTTCATTGCATCACAGAGTCCTGCGTATCCTGGACAGAGGGACATCTGCATGTTGTGCAGCCCATAGGCCATGGAATAGATCGCATTGATCACGAATCCCATTTTGGAATCCTGAACATGATGTGTTCTTAGAGTCAGAGAGCCTGTTGGGAAACAAATTAAGGATCAACTTTGAGACTTAATTTTACTGTAATTACGTTCATGAGTCTTGAATGATTAAGGAATATTCCAGAGCAACTTACATGAATTAGAATCAGAGGCAATATTAAGAAACAGCTGCCAAAATATTATGCCTAATAATTATCTCCTGTTTCAGAGGTTTTTTTTTCTAAAACCTTGAGAAAGGTCCAAGTCTGGTAACTGAACTCTGAGATTAGATCCAAAATAATACCGTATTTCTGTACTGCATATTTTTTCCTTAAAGACTTATTAATTTCCTTAGTGTCAGCTGTGATAATATATCTGTGTGGTTCAGAAATCTTAAACAAATCACTAGTTTCCAACTATTAAGTCCTCCTGGCTGAAAGTAGATCCTCTACCATCTGGCTTTAGATTACTTATTTGATGATTTATCACCATCACTTTGAGGCTCAAAGGATATGCTCACCATAAACAGGCTTATTTGGAAATTATGAAATACAGCATTCAGACTCCATTAATTTATTAATCCAATAAACATTTATTGAGGTCAGATATATATATATACATATATGTATATATATGTATATATATATGTATATATATATGTATATATATATATATATATATAAATCTATGTTATGAATCATAGGCTAGAATAACTTCCCTAATATCAGTCTACTGTCATAATAATCTGACTTTTTTTCTTATTCAGAATATAAAGACTTGGGAGAAGCATACTCCCTGGTAGAGGCACTAACTACTGCAAGTGTCCTTTGTATGCAATTTAAAGAATAAAAACAAGGCTAACTCTTACTGACTGAGGGCAAGAGGAGGACGGTGTTCAGTAGAAAACATAGAGGCTGTGAAATTTAGGGCCTTAGAATTTTTCTCCTTTTCCTTTAAAAGTTTTATTTTTCTGTGCAGAAAATAAAATTCAGTGAGAGAAAGGAAAACACTTAGAGAGTACTATAGCAGAATGCTGATAGATGTGGTAGCTTAGTGCAGGGTAGGATTCTGATTGCATTTTGAAAACAGAAAAAAGTAGGATGTGTTTTAATTTATTAGATATGAGACAGGGAAAATGAAAAATCATGATGAGTCTAGGTTTTCAGTTCAAGCATTCATTGGTGGTTACAATGCTACTATTTGATCAGAGAAAAAGAAATTGGTGAAAGTAAAACCCCAAAATACTGTTTGAGTTATTAAGCCAGGCAGACTAGTTTGTCAATGAAATAGATAAGACAACAGACATCAGTGGCTTTTCCAGGGTGTAAGTACTAGAGAAGGTAGGAAATGTTCAGACTCAGAATCTGTTGTGAAAACACAACTGACGTGACCAATCAGTTGACTATCTTGCATATCAGATTCCTGACTGAGATCTTGATTAGGTCTTTAAAATTTCATTGTTCTCAGATCATCATGGTGGGTTTGAGGTAGTGAGCACTCACAAGCTGCTTCAAAATATGTATGCAAACCAACGCATATTGTAGGAAAATAAATTCTGATTTTTTCTTTTTTTAACTCTTCAAGATACAACAGCTACTTATCTCCAGAGAGGCAATATGCAGGCTCCTTAGGAGTGAATGTTGGCTCAGAAAAATGTTACCTGTGACACAGAAAACTAAAAGCAGGTAGAAGTGGAATATACTCCAGCATCTGGGTACAGAAGACCAGACTTCAAGCTTCAAACTCCTCAGTATGGTTGTTGGATAGCGTGAAACCCATCTGTGGCAATCATCCAATTTGGTGGAAAGATAAAACAAAATCAAACAAAAATTGGTAGGTTGAGTGTTGTTACAGGATAAAGAATTCAGCTCTATGAGATTTGAGGAGGGAGAAAGAGTCTGAGTGTGGAGCAATGTTTGTGATTCCTACATTTGTGGGATCTTCCTGGCGTCTCATCCCAGAACAGTTCCAGGGTAAGCAATACTTCTGCTCACTCAGACACTCTCAGCGTAAACAAGGGAGTGCAGACACTGTGTCTGAGAGCTCACTCTGCAGAGTTTGGAACTTGAGAACATAATGCTGATCTGTCAACAACCTATGTAAGTGAGATGCTTGGTAGCGGACTCACGTTTTTCCCGTACCTTCATTTGAAACACTCCTGCCACTCAGAACCTTGCTCTAGCACCCAACCTCAACGATGGAAGGATGGAATGTAGCTGTGGATGGCCTTAGCTTGTTTCTCATATGTGGGCAGAGGCTGGGAAGAAGAACTATGTATAAATTAATTTTTTTTTCACAACCCTCCTTGTACAAGGTGGTTTCTAACAATAAAAATCTAAGGGAAATGATTGTGCCATTGTCAATGTCTGCACAAGGAGGAATATTAGACCTAATTTTTTTGGTTTGATTTTTCTCTTTGTGGGGGTGTATGCATGTGTGTTCTTATTTTTGCTTTTATAGTGTGCTTTTTTTGACATATTTTCTTAGATCAAGTGTTATTTCATAGGGTTTTCTAACTGCTTTTCTGTAAGTTCATTAACTGGATTTAATCTCCCTATCACTTCCTAGTTAAATTCTTTTCCTTACTCTTCATATTTTCTTTCCTTGTACCATCTCATATTTCTCTGCTCTCAACACTTTATTTTTACACGTAAAACTATTATCATTAATGTATAATTTTTTCTAACCTATCCTACATAATTATTCTCTACTTCCTGTTCTGGGTTAGTAAAATAGCAGATAGTTTTAGACACGTTTACAATCATAGGTTGATGTATGGTTGGAGTTTTAGGTGTTGACATTACTTGTGGTTATTTTCTCCTTATAAAGAGGTCCGAGGGATTTGAATAGGTTAACTGGTTGCTTTCACACTGATAAATGTGCACACAGCCTACGGTACATCACAAAATGAGAGCCACTTAGAAAAAAGACCTCACAAAATAGTGTTAATGATACTCACCTCAACTGACTTAAAAACTTTAACACAAACACCAAGGGTCATGAGAAAACATAATAACATCTGTCCAACAGTTTAAAACTCAATCTTAAGCAAACTCATAGACACTGATGTGGATTAAACTCCATACAAGAAATTTTTTATTTATTCTGATTAGTATTATCATGATAATAATCTGTTTTACTCTTTATTTTCTTTTTCCTTTACTTACTTATTTATTTTTTTTTTGAGATAGTGTCTCAGTACATAGCCCCAGGCTGTCCGGCTGTCCCTTGAACTTGTGGCAATGCTCCTGCCTCAGACGCCTCAGTACTAGGGTTATAGATGTGCCCTCCCACACCTTGCTCAGTCACATAGTTTTCTTAGTTAGCAGTTAAGTGATCAACAAATTTAAAGAATACAAAAATGAACACCTAAATGGAACAATTGTGAAAATGATCCATGAACTCAAAGATATGGATAAACAAGTTAGTGAATTAAGGAAACAAATGCAGAATGTGAAATAGCACTTCAATTAATGGAGGTTATGAAAGAGAATCAAAATATCTGGAAGTGAAAAACCTTAGTTAAATAAAAAACTCAATTGAAAAATCTCAGTAGTCAGCTAAATAATATAGAAGAAAAAATATCAGAGCCTGAAAACTAGGTGTATTTCCAAGAACATTCAGGCAGCAATAAAAGCAAAAACACTATCTCAAAGTATCCCACTTCCATATGTCTTATGAAAGAGTTAAAGAAATCATATCACAGAGTAACATGCACACCCATGTTTATAGCAACACAACTTACAGTAGGTAAAACTTGGAACCAGCCTATATGTCAATTAACAGTTGAATGAATAAAGAAAATGTGTTGTTTATACACAACAGAGTACTACTCTGTCACGAAGAAGGATAAACTTGAATTATTTGAAGGGAAATATATCCACCCTAAGACCATAATGTTAAATGAAATAAATCAGAGCATAATGTTAAATGAAATAAACAAGCTAAAATATCACATTGTATCTCTTAGAAACAAAATATAAATGATTATAGAACAAAAGAAAAAATAATGGAAAACAGGAAGATAGTGCTTTTACAAATGAGAAGAGGCCTAAAAGATGGGGAAATAGAGGGCATTAAAAAAGAATTAAAATGTGTCAGGTATACATGATGAATGTCATCACTGTGTTCTGTAACTATGTACTAATAAAATAAAACAGGAGAAAATAATTAAAATAAACAAAAAGAATCAAATAGAATATGCAACAGCTCTTTGACAACAGTGAAAGACCAACTTTAAACTCATGGACTTCAAAGAAGGGTAAAATATATAAGATAATGACATGGAAAACTCATAGTACTTTTGTAGAACATAATTGCCAAAGTAGGTAGAATGATGTAGATATCAAGGCACTGGAAGCATTTAGAACCCCAAAGAGACATGATGAGGAAAGAACTTCTTCATGACATATCACAGTGAAACTGTCAAAAATTAAGAACAAAGTAAGAACTCTAACAGCTGTTAGAAAGGAATACCAAATCAATTATAATGGTAAACCCATCAGAATAATACCAGGTTAATCAGAAACTTTAAAAACCAAGAGATCTTGAAACTATGCATTTAAATTCCTGAAAAAAAAAGTCATTCAGTATTTCTGTATCATATGAGGTTATCCTTCAGAGTTGAAATATAATAAGACCTTTCATTATAAGTGTAAATACAAGAAACTCATGCCCACTAAGCCAGCACTGCAGGGAATACTTCATGTTTAAATACTATCACAGGAACAAGAAGAAATGTGAATCTCATTGGAAGAATAGATGAACATACGAGTAAAGGAATGAATCAAACACAAAAATTCAACAAAATAGGAATTAGTAAACATTTTTCAAATATAACACAATGTAAATGGTTCTAATCCTACAGTTAAAAGGAAGAGACAACCAGGTTGAATCAAAAAACAAGACCTGACTATACACTCCATGAAAGAAATGCAGCATACCTGAAAAGACACATAGACAGAAAGCAAAAGAATGAAAATGGATACTTCAAATATCTGGAAACCAAGAGCAAACAGAATTAATGGTATTTTTTATTCACAAACCAAATGATTAAAATATTGTAAGATATAAAAGAAAAAGCTAATATGCAAATCAATAAGATGTATAGTGAGTTTAAAGAAGTTTACATAAAATGAAAATATTTAATAAAATGTCTTAGTTTGAAGGAATAAACTAAAATTAGTTTGAAATTAAGGAGATAGATATGATCACTTTTGCAAAAATTATGAAAAGGAATCTATTAGAAATCTTGATATGAAAAGTACACTTGAAAATAGGCAACAGAAATGGCTAATCTGAGGAGGCACTCTTAGAATTTGAGAACAATGGTAATGTATTTGATGTTGAACTCAGTAATACACTAAAACAAGGAACTATTGATAGTGGATTCAACAGTTGCGAGATGACTCAGGAAAGCAACCCAAGAATCACAAGTGAAAACGGAAGGTTACAAGGTCACACCAAAGGCATAAAAACGTTATTCATTAAAAAATACTACAAAAAAGTTCAAATCTGGGAAAAAATTTCAGTGTAAAGTAAAATAGGCATAGAAAATCTCTAGTAGTCATAACTAGAATAAATCCTCTACATAAGAGGATTCAGCATTGCAGAAATTCAGTACAGAGAGAAAATAATAAAAACTGCTAGTGGAAAACATCAAGTAACCTATAAAAGATATCATATAAGAATAACAACAGATTCTTAACACAAAGTTTAAAGGCCAATGAGGCTTTAATGACATTTCTCAAGACTTAAAGGAAAGCGGTTGTTAATCCAGATTTATTGTATCCTTCTCTTCAAAGTTATCTTTTAAAATTGATGGGCAAATAATGGCTTCCCACAACAAAGAATTTAAAGGAAGTAATGACCAGCAGATCACCATTACACACACAAAAAAAATCCTACTCACATAAACTGTGAGGCCAGTATCACCCAAGAGCTCCAAAAATAAAATTCATCTAACTGGAAAAGTAGTTAAAAGAAAAATAAAAGGAAATTATCAGTGAAAAAAATAATGCAATTACAAAGTTTAAAGTAAGATTAAATAATACCACTCATTATTAATGGTCTCAACTGTCCCATCAAAAGTCACAGACTAGAAGATGGGATCAAAATTCATCCTAATATTTCTTACAGGAGAAAAACTTCATCCTCAAAGAAACACATAGACTGAAAGTAAAAGGATTAAAAACCATAAGCTACGAAACTGGAGACTGACAGAAAACAAAAGTAGCTATCCTCTCTTTAGACAAAGTTGACTTCAAGCCTAAACTGATCAGAAACAAATAATGTTATTAGGTAATGCCAAAGGGAACAATTCACTAGAAAGAGACAACAATTTAAAATATATATGTATCATATATCTTTGCATCACACAAAAAGCCTGTTGGACATAAAAGGACAGGTATACATTCATAATGGGTGATCTCTGGTAAATCAGAAAAAAAAAATCATGAAATCAGAGTTGAACCAAACTATCAAATAAATGGACTTTATGAATATCTATAAAGTGTCTGATTCAGTAACAAAAAACCAACAAACAAGATTATGTTTTAGAATTTAAAGCATCCTTAAATAAATATAGAAAATGAAACAATTATTGGCATCCTACTGGATCACATCAGAATGAAACGAGAAATCAGTAGAAAAAGAAACAACAGAAAATTTCACAACACATGGAGATTAAATAATACATCATGCAATATCAGTGCTCACAGAAGAAATCAGTAAAGAAATTGAAAACTGCCTAGAATCAAATAATGACAGGATAACATATCAAAACTTTATGACACCAAATGAAAGTAGTTGAGAGAGGATAGCATTTAAGCTATAAATTCCCATATTAAAAATAGCACAATCTCAAGTTACTTAATATACATCTCAAGCTTCTAGAAAACAGTATCAATTCAAATCCATAACTTTTATAAGCAAAGATTTTAAGGATCAGATCAGAAATTAATGAAATTGAGACAAACACTACAAAGGAGCAATGAATCAAAGAGTTCACTAACAAGAGATTCACAGGCATTTGTGATCTGCAAAAATATGAAAAAATATTGCAAAAATATGCTAAAATGTGAAAAAGCAAAAGACTTAATCAAAATAGGCAATAGAAATGAATAAAAATATTCAATGTGAGAATGTCCAATAAGTAAATAAAAGAAGTTCAGCATTCTTCAATGTTAGAGAAATGAAAATCAAAACCACAGTGAGATTTTGTCTTACATTAGTATGTAAGACAATAGTATGGATGACTATTATGAAGGACTCAAGAGCCAATAATAATAGCAAGGTTTTGAGGAAATATGAATTTTTCCATATCATTGGTGCAAATGTAAAGTAG